TCATCCGTGTCCCTCCAAAGGACATGAACTCATCCTTTTTTATGGCTGCGTAGTATTCCATGGTGTATATGTGCCACATTTTATCCAGTCTATCATTGATGGGCATTTGGGTTGGTTCCAGGTCTTTGCTGTTGTAAACAGTGCCACAGTGAACATAACGTGTGCCTGTGTCTTTATAATAGAATGATTTATAATCCTTTGGGTATGTAACCAGTAATGGGATTGCTGGGTCAAATGGTATTTCTATTTCTAGATCCTTGAGGAGTCGCCACATTGTCTTCCAAAATGGTTGAACTAATGTACACTCCCACTAATAGTGTAAAAGTGTTCCTATTTCTCCACATCCTCTCCAGCATCTGTCGTCTCCAGATTTTTTAATGATCAGCATTCTAACTGGTGTGAGATGGTATCTTAATGTGGTTTTGATTTGTATTTCTCTAGTGACCAGTGATGATTTTTTAATATGTTTGTTGGCCACATGAATATCTTCTTTTGAAACGTGTCTGTTCATATCCTTCGCTCAGTTTTGGATGGGGCGTTTGTTTTTTTCTTGTAAATCTGCTTTAGTTCTTTGTAGATTCTGGATATTAGCCCTTTGTCAGATGGGTAGATTGCAAAAATTTTTTCCCATTCTTTTGGTTGCCAGTTCACTCTAATGATTGTTTCTTTTGCTGTACAGGAGTGCTGGAGTTTAATTAGATCCCATTTGTCTATTTTGGCTTTTGCTGCCAATGCTTTTGATGTTTCAGTCATGAAGTCCTTGCCTATGCCTATGTCCTGAATGGTTTTGCCTGTGTTTTCTTCTAGGGTTTTTATGGTGTTAGGTCTTATGTTTAAATCTTTAATCCATCTGGAGTTAATTTTTGTGTCAGGTGTCAGGAAGGGGTCCAGTTTCTGCTTTCTGCACATAGCTGGCCAGTTTTCCCAACGGCATTTATTAACTGGGGAATAGTTTCCCCATTGCTTGTTGTTGTCAGATTTCTCAAAAGATCAGATGGTTGTAGATGTGTGGCATTACTTCCGAGGCCTCTGTTGTGTTCCATTGGTCTATATCTCTGTTTTGGTACCAGTACCATGCTGTTTTGATTAATGTAGCCTTGTAGTATAGTTTGAAGTCAGTTAGCGTGCTGCCTCCTGCTTTGTTCTTTTTGCTTAGGATTGTCTTGGCTATGCAGACTCTTTTTTGATCCCATATGAAGTTTAAGGTGGTTTTTTTCCAGGTCTGTGAAGGTCAATGGTAGCTTGATGGGGATAGCATTGAATCTATAAATTACTTAGGGCAGTATGACCATTTTCATGATATTGATTCTTCTTAACCATGAGCATGGAATTTTTTTAAATCTATTTGTGTTCTCTCTTATTTCCTTGAGAAGTGGTTTGTAATTCTCCTTGAAGAGGTTCTTCACATCCTTTCTTAGTTGTATTCCTAGGTTTATTCTCTTTGTGGCAATTGTAAATGGGAGTTAGCTTATGATTTGGCTCTTAGTCTGTTATTGGTGTATAGGAATGCTTGTGATTTTTGCAGATTGATTTTGTATCCTGAGACTTTGCTGAAGTTGCTTATCATCTTAAGGAGATTTTGGGCTGAGATGATGGGCTCTTCTAATTACACAATCATGTCATCTACAAATAGAGACAATTTGACTTACTCTTTTCCTAATTGAATACCTTTATTTTATTTTATTTTCTGGCTAGAACTTCAATACTATGTTGAATAGGAATGGTGAGAGAGGGTACCCTTGTCTAGTGCCAGTTTTCAAAGGAAGTGCTTCCAGTTTTTGCCCATTCAGTATGATATTGGCTGTGGGTTTGTCGTAAATAGCTTTTATTATTTTGAGATACATTCCATTGATACCTAGTTTATTGAGAGCTTTTAGCATAAAGAGCAGTTGAATTTTGTTGAAGGTCTTCTCTGCATCTATTCAGATGATCATGTCTTTTTTTGTCTTTGGTTCTGTTTATATGACGGATTACATTTATAGATTTGCACATGTTGAACCAGCCTTGCATTCCCGGGATGAATCCTACTTTATTGTGATGGATAAAGTTTTGATGTGCTGTTAGATTTGGTTTGCCAGTATTTTATTGAAGATTTTTGCATCGATGTTAATCATGGATATTGGCCTGAAGTTTTGTGTTTTTTTTCTCTCTTTTTTTTTAAGTTATGTCTCTGCCAGGTTTTGGTATCAGAATGATGTTGGTCTCATAAAATTAGTTACGGAGGATTCCTTCGTTTTGTATTGTTTGGAATAGTTTCAGAAGGAATGGTACCACCTCCACCTTGTACGTCTGGTAGAATTCAGCTGTAAACCCATCTGGACCTGGACTTTTTTTTGGTTGGTAGGCTATTAATTGCTGCCTTAACTTCAGACCTTGTTATTGGTCTATTCAGGGTTTCAACTTACTCCTGATTTAGTCTTGGGAGGGTGTAAGTGTCCAGGAATTTATCCATTTCTTCTAGATTTACTGGTTTATGTGCATAGAGTTATAGTAATCTCTGCTGGTAGTTTGTATTTCCATTGAATAGGAATGGTGAGAGAAGTTCTGGATAATATCCTGAAGAGTGTTTTCAGGCGTGGGATTCATTCTCTTCGTCACATTCAGGTACGCCGATCAAACGTAGATTAGGTCTTTTCACGTAATCCCATATTTCTTGTAGGCTTTGTTTATTTCTTTTCACTCTTTAATCTTGCCTTTTCGTTTTATTTCATTGAGTTGATCCTAAATCTCTGATGTCCTTTCTTCTGCTTTATCGATTAGGCTATTGAAACTTTTGTATGCTTCTTGAAGTTCTAGTGCTGTGTTTTTTAGCTCCATCAAGTCGTTTATGTTCTTCTCTAAGCTGGTTATTCTAGTTATTCTATTTTGTCTAACCTTTTTTCAAGGTTTTTAGTTTCTTTGCATTGGGTTAGAAAGAACATGTTCTTTTATCTCAGAGAAGTTTGTTATTACTCCTCTTCTGAAGCCTGCTGCTGTCAATTTGTCTAACTCATTCTCCATCCTGTTTTGTTGCCTTGCCGGTGAGGGGTCGTGATCCCTTGGAGGAGGAGAGGCATTCTGGTGTTTGATGATTTCATCTTTTTTGCACTGGTTTCTTCCCATCTTCCTGGATTTATCTACCTTTGGCCTTTGAAGTTGGTGATTTGGGACGGGGTCCCTGAGTGGACGTCCTTTCTGTTGATATTGAAGCTATTTCTTTTTTAGTTTTCCTTCTAACAGGCCCCTCTGCTATGGGACTGCTGGAGGTCCACTCCAGTCCTTGCTTGCCTAGGAATCACCCACAGGGGCTGCAGAACAGCAAGGGTTGCTGCCTGTTGTTTCCTCTGGTAGCTTTGTCCCAGAAGGGCATTCACCAGATGTCAGAGCTCTCCTGTATGAGGCATCTTTTTGGTAATATGGGGGTCAGGGAGCCGCTTCAGGAGGCAGTGTGTCCCTTATTGGAGCTCATAGGAACTCCATTGCTCCCTTTAGGGCTGCTGCAGAGGGACCCTTGAATCTGCTGCAGCAGAACTCACAGTTGCCCCTTTTCTTGGTTGCCCTGTCCTGGGGAGGTGGGGTTTTATTTATGAGTCCCTGATGTGCTGCTGCCTTTTTTTTCGGAGATGTCCTGCCTAGCAAGAAGGGAATCTAGTCACAGTGTGCCTTCAGAAGTGCTGTTGGGCTGCCGCGGGCTCAGTCCAGCTGCTTTGTGAGCTTCCCCTGGCTTTTGTTTACACAGGTAAGATTAGAACCGCCTTGGTAATGGCAGACACTCTTCCCCGCACTGAGCTCCATCGTACTGGGTGGAACTCCCAACTGATGTGCTGGCTGGGAAACTCTCAAGCCAGAGGGTTTCAGTTGCTGGTCTTTGTAGGGGTGGGACACGCCAAGCCTATCAGTTGGCTCCCTGCTTTTAGCTCCCCCTCTTTCTGGGGAGTGGGAAGCTGTGTCTCGCAGGAGCTCCAGCCAAAACATCCACCCAGATTTGCACAGACAGCCTGCATTGGAGCGGCTGCTCAGATCTATGCTGGTAACTCTAGGTGCTTGTCAGCCCAGCGGGGATCTCCTGGTCTGTGGGTTGTAAAGACCTTGGGAGAAGCACAATATCTGAACAGGAGTGCTGGAGGGGAAAAGTCCTCGATGGCCTCCATAGGAGGGGAGTCCTCTGGCCAGTTGCACTTCCCAGGTGAGGCAGTGCCCCACCCTGCCTTGCTTTGCCCTCCTTGGACTACACCAACCTCCAACCAGTCGCTTGGAGATGAACCTGGTACCTCGATTGATCACTGGTCTTCTGTGTGGCTCTCGCTGGGAACTGCAATCTAGAGCTGTTCCTATTCGGCCATCTTGGTGGAAGTTGTACCATTAGGTTTCAACCTAGGTCTTTTTTTTTTTTTAACCTAGGTCTTTATTTCCAGATGTTTCTACTCTTCCAATGTTTATTAAACTTAACCAATGCAGTTTGAGCCTCAGCCATGTTAGGGATTTTCCTCGATTAGCTGCTTTGTAGTACAATCTAGAATTTTTAGTCTTCCGTTTATTTCTTGAACTAATCATTCAAGTAGATTGAAGGAAGAGTTAACTGTAAGGGTATGAAGAAGCGTGGCTCAAGATGAAGGGTGCATTTTGACAAGTACTCTTCTGGCTCTTTGCCTTCTCCTTTTTTGTTGCTGCTTCTGCTTAATTAAAGGTTCTGGCTTATATCTAATACGTTGTTTTGTTTTGTTTTGTTTTGTTTTGAGGCTGATGTCACCCAGGCTGGAGTGCAGTAGTTCATTCTTGCCTCACTGCAACCTTCGACTCCTGGGTTCAAACAATTCTCCTGCCCCAGCCTCCTGAGTTAGCTGGGTTACAGCCACCTAATGCCATACCTGGCTAATTTTTTGTATTTTTAGTAGGGGTGGGGTTTCATCATGTTGTCCAGGCTGGCCTTGAACTCCTGACCTCAAGTTATCCGCCCACCTCAGCCTCCCAAAGTGCTGGGATTACAGGCATGAGGCACCGCACCCAGCCAATACGTAGTTTTTTGTTTGTTTTTGAGATGAAGTTTCTGCTCTTGTTGCCTAGGCTGGAGTACAACGATGCTTTCTCAGCTCACCACATTCTCGACTGGAAGAGTTCAAGTGATTCTCCTGTCTCAGCCTCCCCAGTAGCTGGGATTACAGGCATGTGTCCCCACACCTGGCTAATTTTTTGTTTTTAGTAGAGACAGGGTTACGCCATGTTGGCCAGGCTGGTCTGGAACTTCTGACTTCAGGTGATCTGCCTGCCTCAGCCTCCCAAAATGCTGGGATTGCAGGCATGAGCCAACACTCCCAGCCTCGATATATAGTTTTTTTTGTTTGTTTGTTTGTTTTGAGACGGAGTTTCACTCTTGTTACCCAGGCTGGAGTGCAATGGCACGATCTCGGCTCACCGCAACCTCCGCCTCCTGGGTTCAGGCAATTCTCCTGCCTCAACCTCCTGAGTAGCTGGGATTACAGGCGCGCGCCACCACGCCCAGCTAATGTTTTGTATTTTTAGTAGAGACGGGGTTTCACCATGTTGACCAGGATGGTCTCGATCTCTTGACCTCGTGATCCACCCTCCTCGGCCTCCCAAAGTGCTGGGATTACAGGCTTGAGCCACTGCGCCCGGCCTTTATGACGGCTTTCTAACAGCCAGGTGTGGCGCTATTTCCCTAAGTCGACTCAATTCTATTCATGAGATTGTGAAGACCGGGTGTGGCGGCTCACGCCTGTGATCCCAGCACTTTGGGAGGCTGAGGTGGGCAGATTGCTTGAGTGCAGGAGCTTGAGATCAGCCTGGGTAACAGAGTGAAACCCCATCTCTACAAAAATTTAAAAGACATTTAAAAATCATGAAGAAAATATGATTATATCAATTTATAGACAATGAAACAGAGGCTCAGAGAGGGTAACTAACACCCCTCCCCGCCTCCCAGGTCACACAGAAAATTCAAAGGAAAATTAAGATTTGAATCAGGTGTGTTTGCTTCCAAAAAGCTGTGCACGATTAACGTTCCTTCCACTGGATATTCCAGCAGATGCTAGGCTTTTTGTCATGGACACTTTGATTTTGGGAGGAGATGCTTAGTTCACTCACGTTAATAATGACCATGGCAGGGATATGCCCTGATCTTCCACAATTAATCTGTCTTGAAATTTTAAAGTCTTGAGTACACAGGCTGCTGCTTTTTTTTTTTTTTTTTTTTTTTTTTCCCCCGACAGGGTCTTACTCTGTCACACAGGCTGAAGTGCAATGGCACAGCACTTTGAGAGGCTGAGGTGGGTGGATCACTTGAGGTCAGCAGTTCAAGACCAGCTTGACCAACATAGTAAGACTCCATCTCTACTAAACTATATAAATGAGCTGGGTGTGGCGGTGCATGCCTTTAATCCCAGCTACTTGGGAGGCTGAGGCAGGAGAATCACTTGAACCAGGAAGGCAGAGGTTGCAGTGAGCTGAGATCACGCCACTGCACTCCAGCCTGGGTGACAGAGCGAGACTCCATCTCAAAAACAAAACAAAAAGAAAAGAAAAGAAATTATCCTTTCATTTTATGTTATTTTTTTAAATCCAAAATAGAGTTCCATCCAATGAGTTTATTAAGATGATTTTTTTTTTTTTTTGAAATGGAGTCTCACTCTGTCGCCCAGGCTGGAGTGCAATGGTGCAATCTCAGCTCACTGCAACCTCTATCTGCTGGGTCAAGCGATTCTCTTGCCTCAGCCTCCTGAGTAGCTGGGACTACAGGCACGCACTGCCACTCTGGCTTTTTTTTTTTTTTTTTTTTTTTTTTTTTTTTTACAATATTTTTAGTAGAGATGGGGTTTTACCGTGTTGGCCAGACTGGTCTTGAACTCCTGATCTCAGGTGATCCACTTGCCTTGGCCTACCAAAGTGCTGGGATTATAGGCATGAGCCACCATGTCCAGCAAGATGATTGCTTTTGTCTTACATAGTTGTGGTCTTATGTTACTAGAATTTTCTAATAAATTAAACCATACTTGTATTATCTAAATAAGCTTGTCATGAACATATATATTTTTCAAATATATAAGTCTTTAGCTCTTCAGGAGGCCGAAATGACATAACAGATTTTATCATTAAGAAAGTCTAGGCCGGGTGAGGTGGCTCATGCCTGTAATCCCAGCACTTTGGGAGGCCGAGGCAGGTGGATCATGAGGTCAGGAGTTTGAGACCAGCCTGGGCAACACAGTGAAACCTCGTTTCTACTAAAATACAAAAAATTAGCTGGGCATGATGCCAGACACCTGTAATCCCAGCTACTCAGGAGGCTGAAGCAGGAGAATCACTTGAATCCAGGAGTCGGAAGTTGCAGTGAGCCAAGATCGCGTCACGGTACTGTACTCCAGCCTGGGCGACAGAGCAAGACTCTCTCCAAAAAAAAAAAAAAAAAAAGTTTGTGAACCACAGGACAAGAGCTGGCAGGCTCCAGCTTGTTCTACAGACAGCCCAGAGCCCAGAAGCTTCAGGAAGCAGCAGCAGTTTCATGGCTGTTCTCTAAACAGAGATAGAAATTTCTTAAAAGAGACAAGGCAAGGGAAACAGTGGCGTGGAAATGATCAGAGCATCTGGGCACATTTGAAATAAGGGGTTGGTGAGGAAGGGCTGGGCCATCCCATGTGGGGGTAGGGGGCAGAGTCTGAATAGGGGTAGGCAGCTGCGACTGGGGAGGCCACACAGAGAAATGCAGGCTTCTGGGCTGACCACGTGGGCTTGAATCCTGCCTCTGCCGCAGCGTGGCCAGTTTGTCTCCTCTCCACTTCCCCACTCAGGTTGGGGGCAAATAGTCAAGATATCAAATTAAATGTGCTCTTCCTCCTGAAGACCCCATCTGATGGACAATACCACTGGCACCCCCACCAGCCTCCCAGCCAGAGCCTGGGCACCCCGTGATGCCTCCTTCCTGGGGGACTGAGCGTTGAGGATGGACCCCGTCTGAGTCATGGTCCGTGACCAGCCTGCTCCATCAGGGAGGTGATCATTCAGTGTTTATTGAACAATGGATACAGAAAGAGAGTGCACGGAGCACTCTGTGTGTGTGGAAAGTAGCCCTTCTGGAAAGAAAGAATATTCATGGTCCATGTGGTTTGAGTCTGTTAAGAACGACACTAAGGCACACGGCTGGTGACCTCTGGGTCACAGATGCGGGTGAGCTCATGGTGGAACTCCTCCTTCTCTGTAGGTTTCCAGGCTGCACACGGAGGTGAGGGCAGAAAGCTGGGCAGCCCGGTCCATCTCCCCACAGCTTCCTCCAGGGCGGGATCTCCACCCAGGCCCAGGCTGCCCGTTCCTCTCCATCTCTGCCAGTCCGCCGCTCGGCTGCCACAACTCACACCAGAGGGATAGGGTAGGAGGCGCAGGCGGCCAGGCCACACATGTTCTTCCCACGCTCGATGAGGAAGTACCTGGGCAGAGAGAGGAGCTGAGGCCCGGCCGGTGGTCTCCTCACCACAGGCCTTTCTAGAATGTTCTGCTGCCCACCAAAAGCTGACTCCAGGGATGAGACCCTCTGAATTTATTATAGAACAGCAGCATTCAGTTTATTTGACCAGCAGTAAATTGTTGACCTGACTGTGAATAATTCATTCTTCCCTCTCCTTGGCTGCTAAATGAATGATCCATATCCCTCTTTTCCCGAAAATTTACCGAGGGCCCCTTCTTAGCCTGGCTGGGCTCTCACACAGCTATTTAACCACCAGGATCCCGAGGGAACATGTAAGCTCTCCTTTTCAGATGAGGATATGGTCCAGGAGGACAGGACAGAGGCATGGCCACATAGACACCCAGGCAGCACATGCCAGCCTTTTCTCCTAGGAGGGGCTGTCCCTGTTCAGGAGTACATTTGTTGCATTGATTTCTCAAAGACGGACCCTCCCAGATCCCGACTTCGTGCTAACAGAGTTCCGAGTTCTCAGCTGTTTTCCCAGCAGCGATTACAGATCCTTCTGAGGCAGCCGGCCTCCTGCCCTCCCTGCAGCCGTCCTGAAGACCTGGGGCCCTGTGAGGGCTGCGAATGGGGGCTTGGAGATGCGGAGGCTGTGCTCTCATGCTCCCTTTCCCCATGGCCTGGGCTGTGCCGGGCTGAGCAGCTTGTCTGTCGAAAGCCGTAACTCTGAGGTGGAAGAGACGGGCCTCCAGGCCTCAGCAGTGTCCCCCTCCCTGCAGTGGGACCTGGGAGCTGCTTACCCGTTCATTCCCCACTCAGGACCCCAAGAGTTTTTCACGATCCAATAAGGGATCCCGTTTTCTTCTCCATATCCAACAGCCAGTACTGCGTGGTTAACTTTATCCGGAGTTTTATGGCAGGAAGTACTGGAAAACAAAATTAAAAACGAGGCGATCATAGGGGAGGGATAAAGGCATGCCGGTCCCATCCAATGCCTCTTCAAATGCTTTAGAGCAGTGTTCCCCACGGGGGGCCAGGGAGGCCTGTAAGGTGGTGATTTAATCACCAGGAGAGAATTCTTTTTTATTTATTTTTTGAGATGGAGTCTCACTCTATCGCCTAGGGTGGAGTGCAATGGTGCGGCTGGGGTGGGGGCTGCAGGGTGTAATGGCAGGGACAGGGTTTGATGGCAGATAAGCGCGAAGAAAGGGGGAGGACCAGATCATGAGGGTCCCCGCCAGGCTCGGACCCGGGGACAGCAGGGACGCTGCTGTATTTAAAGGTTGGCGTGGCAAGAGGAGGGTTTCAGAAGGCAGATGGCTCCCAGTGGAGGCTGGACCAGTGTGTGGGGGCGTTGGGGGCCCGAGGACAATGGTGGCTGGGGCGGAGCCTCAGGGAGGGAGCAGAGGGCACAGACCTGAGCAGTGTTAATGGGCAGGCTGATGAAGGGAGGGAAATGGGGCTAAGAGGTGCGGGTGAGCTTGGTTTCGCTGAAGAAGCCTGGATGACTTCCAGCACAGGACCCTGCTGCGTGAGGCTGCTACGCTCTCCTCCCTATTTTACATCATCTTCAAATTTCTGAACACGGGTTTGCTTTTTCCTTTTTTTTGAGACAGAGCTTCCCTCTGTCCCCAAGGCTGGCGTGCAGGGGCTCGATCTTGGCTCACTGCCACCACCTCCTCCCGAGCTCAAGCAATTCCTGTGTTTTAGCCTCCCTAGTAGCGGGGATTGCAGGCATGCACCACCACGCCTGGCTATATGGTTTTTGTAATTTTAGTAGAGAAGGAGTTTAGTCATGTTGACCAGGTTGGTCTCAAACTCCTGGCCTCAAGGGATCTGCCTGCCTCGGCCTCCCAAAGTGCTGGGATTACAGGCGTGAGCCACCACGCCTGGCCTGAACATGGTTTTTATTTTTATGTTTATTTTTTTGAGACAGACTTTTGCTCTTTGCCCAGGCTGGAGTGCAATGGTACAATCTCTGCTACTGCAACCTCGGACCCCCAGGTTCAAGCAAATCTCCTGCCTCAGCCTCCTGAGCAGCTGGGATTACAGGCATGTCCCAGCACGCCCGGCTAATTTTGTATTTT